TTGCCGAGGAGAAAAATTCGCACCATGTGGCCAGCCTTGGCGGTGAAGGGTGTCCGATTTTGGTCGAAAATTATTTGGCAGCACTGATAATGTACTGTACATGTACATGTATATACATGTACATGTATACCAGTACAAGGGGTGGATCAGGTTTTTATAGCCTAGGCACCGGCGGATTCTGCTCGAAAAGGTGGCAGATTCTGCTCGAAAAGCAGTGAAATTGGCAGAACCATACAAACCTTATGGCGGGCAATTCCTCGAATTCTGCTCCATTTCTTTATCCACATACCAAACATGCATGAAACTTACCAGAAAAAGTACCGAATTCTGCCAATTTTTCTGCCGGCATTATCCGCCGGTGTCTATTATAGCCTCATCCGTCTTAGAATGAATTACTCGCATTTATAATACCCGCTATGAGAAGTTGAGAACTGAGAAGTTGAGAACTGAGAAGAAGAGTGACCCCTCCCTGTGGCGTACTGGGGTCGGGCCCGGGCGGAGGGAAGGAGAGGCACGCAAAACACTGTGACCAGATATGAACAGCGACCTGCATAATGCACTCCGTAGACTTTATACATTGAAGTTGCGTCTCAGCGATGCCTGGCTGTGGTTGCGGGGCTGCAAGACCATGACATAAACCATGACCATGAAGACCATGAATGGCATACAGACGATGGGTGCGGGTCCTGTCAAGACTCAGTCTCACTCTCAGAACACCAGGTGTTAGTGTACCCTTACCGGCGACTCGATTCAGGAGTCGCAAGTCGCGGTCGCCTAGGCCACATCAAACTGCGAGCCATCAAGCCAAAGCATCACCAGACATCTTCCCAGGCTTACAACTAGCGTAGAAAAGGGTAATGAAAGACTATCAATCGAAATTCTTACCTAGTTTGGTGCAGAGTTGCGTCCCAGGAGCTATTAGTGGTGATCTTCCACTCCTGACTTTTCTGGAACCTTCTACTGTGTACGTGTACGTGTACGTACGGTTAATAGTAACCTCGCTCTGATGCTGATACTAGTTATTGGCTTGTCCTCGCAGCACGAGACCTGGCATCGTCTCCTTCTCACACAGACAGCTTGTGGACCCATTCATTCTTCACAGGGTCAATGAAGTCGGTCGGATGCTCTCGCTTACAAGCAACACTCTTTTAGTCAGGTGAGCTTTTTATCAAAACAATACCATCCTATGAGTATAATATGTACCTTTCAGCTTCATTTTCATGTATAAGGCACATAGTTGTACTCGCTCGATTACTCGTTCGCTTATTCAAAGAGTGCTCGAGTCCTCAATTTAGCACTCGCTTCACCCTAAGTATATCGTTACCGTAATACCTTCTTCATCAGTTGAAAGGACCGTGATAGCTCATGCAGCGCTAAATTTGTATTAGAAACAGCCTCACACTTCCTGTGTTTATCTGCATTTGAAAATACTAGCACCAGTACATGATATGGGTACTCAAGGTCAGAGACAGACCTTAGTACATAATCAGTTGTCTGATGATTGCCTAACGGCATGAAACTCAGAGTTACAACCAACCTGAACGTCCTCCGCTGAGTCTGCTATGTACTAAGCTCTGCTCTGATATTGAGCACTCTCTGCAGGTCAGGGATCAACGGATTTGATATGGGTACTTGTAAAATAATTCCCTACATGTGTTTTGAAGTAAGAACTCGCACACTCCTCTAACGCAGCCAATTACACATTGCTCCGTACGAACATTTATACTGATTGGTCACGACACAGCGTTAAGTTAATATTACTCATTCACCAAAGTTTCGGGCTTCACCATCCACAATGGAAGGTTGAACAAGAGGACAACAGGGGAAACAACAAGCAGTGTGAACATACGGTGAAAGTGGTTGAATAGCCATCTATGCAACTCTGTTGCTGTTTGCTGTGCTGTACGGATGGAGCACAAATACAAAATGAAAGGTTTTAACCTTTCAAATAATCTACGTGGAGATAATAATTTTAATATACATGTAGCTATGAATAGGATGAAGGCCGCAGACATCACGCAACTACGTTACTTGTTCGACATGTACATGTATTTACTGTGTATTTTATAACAAAAATATTATTGAAAACCCATAATCGATTTTCTTGTTCCTATCATCAGTGGGAAAAATACGGAACTAAGGATACAACCAAAGAAACTGAAGTTAAGTACTGTAAATAGAAAGGTGTCAGAAATAACAACAAGATACAAGTGCAATAAAACCACTAGAGGAAACGCAAAAAGGTTTCACAGTAAATACATGTCGAACAAGTAACGTAGTTGCGTGATGTCTGCGGCCTTCATCCTATTTAACCTTTTTCATTTTGTATTTGTGCTCCGCCCGTACAGCAAAAACAGGATGGCAAAAGGAGCAAAATGGCAACACGCAGTGTGAATATACTGTGAAGGTGGTAGAATAGCCATTGCCAGCCACTGGCTATGCAACTCTGTTGTTGTTTGCTGTTTTGTACGGGCGGAGCACAGAGACACAATGAAAGGTTAAAGGGGAAGTATACCTTAAAATCAAATTTTCACCAGTTGTAGTCTTCTTGGTGCTGAGTCGAATGGTCTTGGTCCGAGGACGCTGAGACGCTCCCTTCCTCCTTTATTCCCAATCGAACTCGCGCACTTCCACCGAAACTGGGTAACTGCGCCCTACTAGATAGGGATTTGTATGGAAAAGTCATTAAAAACGCCGTTTCGTTCTTATAAAAGCACGGATAACCGCTATTGGTCCTTATGTTGTAGTCTTGTGGCCACTGAGTCGACTGGTTTTGGTCCGAAAAGGCTGCGATGCAGCGTTCGGCCCTTATTTCCAATCGAACACGGTTGAGTGAGCGGTCACGTGCCTGCAGAGTACATTTTTCACATCAAGATTCAACTCAAAGGTTCAAAGTAGGGAGTCGTAAGACTCTACTAAGAGGCTTTTACGACTCCCTGGTTCAAAGGTTCAACTCGAGTGACATAAACGGGCCCAAACAGGCTGTAAATGAGCACTTGACCGCTTACTCAACCGCGTTCGATTGGGAATAAGGGACGAATGCTGCATCGCAGCCTTTTCGGACCAAAACCAGTGTGGAAGAAACCCTGCACAGGAATAGTGATCAGATGATAAACTGTAATGTGCATGTACATGTATGTGAGACATGGTTAAACGAAAGTGTGAGTTTGGGGAGCAGACGAACTGGAAAGGTGTAGAAAGTGAGCGAGAGAGAGAGAGAGAGAGAAAGAGAGGGGGGGGGGGAAGAGAGACGGGACGTAGGAGGTGTATGTCTCAATTAAGATTGTCTACAAAACGCAATGGTGAATTCTTGCTCTGTTCATGTTCTCCCATGTGCGACATGTATTCAGGTGACAAATACGGAATGCTCCTGGCAACGATGACTGTCCTGCATGAATGAGAACGGGGTTGGAACAAAGTCGTCATGGCCGGAGGTTAGTACGCGACCACGTGACCATGTAACGCCTATCGGATATACATGTACATGTACATGTATATCCGTCTGGCTGTGCAGTGCATGGCTAATGGCCGATACGTGTTGTAGTCTGACAGCTCTGTCGAACTCCCAAGTCAGAGATACAAATCTCAAATCTTGACTGAGAAAAGTGACTAGACATGGCATCAGCAGTTTAGGTGGCGAACGTTTCTCATGGTTTGGCACTCTGGGGTACCTAAGTTTTCCTCGGCATTCATGTATGATGGACTTCATCAATTTTATCGCAATGGGCCGTTTTCGAATGTCGCTCCTATTTTTTATTAAGGAGATGAAATTTTATAGGGACAGACGGCACAGTTGTGCGTTTCAAATCACGCTAATATCAGATGGCGTGCACGATATCGACACAATCTGTGGACGATACATTGGTGTTCCTCTTCTGAATCACTACTCTCTGGCGGGTGCTTGATTTCTGCAGTCGATGATCCTGAAGAACTCGAGATGCATGTCAACAATGACGCGAGTCTGGCCAGTGATCAGGATCAGCAGCAGGCGGAGGACGACGATGACATCAGCATGGCGTCATCAATCAGTATGTGCTAGTGTCTCTAAACCGGACTTTGATGCAGTCGATAAATAATGTGGTAAAGACACACCTGGCAATATGGCGGTAAACACACGCCTACCCACACACGCTCTCTAGGCTGCAACGTTCTGGCACAGAGCTCTCCTTCTTACCGCCACCAATTTGATGCAGTCTAGGGTCCGGCGGATTCTGCCGGCAGAAAAATTGGCAGAATTCGGTACTTTCTCTGGTACGTTTCATGCATGTTTGGTATGTGGACAAAAAATGGAGCAGAATTCGAGGAATTGCCCACCATAAGGTTTGTATGGTTCTGCCAATTTCACTGCTTTTCGAGCAGAATCTGCCACCTTTTCGAGCAGAATCCGCCGGTCTCTAAATTGCAGTCCTACGTTCAATTAAAAAAATTGACAATCGGCATTGTTGGCACATGCTATACAATGTAATGTATAAGTCAAGGGTTACATGTACAAAATACATGCACATGTACATGTACAGTCAACTTTGCGTATAAAGACACTCGGTGGGGCATCAGAAAAGTGTCCTTATTCGTGAAGTGTCGTTATACCCGAAGTCCCATTATATGTATTACAGTTGGATGAGACCTTGCTCTGGGCATGGAAATTCTGTCGTTATTCGCGAATTGTCGTTATATCCGCAGTCGTTATTAACGAAGTTGACTGTATGTAAATGTAGGTTTCTAGAGCACAACACATGATTGTACTAGTCTTTGGATGCACAGACCAATACACACACACACACTCACGCACGCACACACACACATACACATACACACACACTCACGCACACACACGCACACGCACACACACACACACACACACACACACACACACATACACACACACACACGCAATGCAGCGCCTACACACTGTAGTTCTGCCTCAGCTTACAATAAACATCACATCATCATCCAGTGCTTCTTTCACTAATATAAATACTATCCCGGTGTTCGTGTTCTGTTACTGCCCTCACTAGGCTCATGGGGCTCCGAATGGAATGGGGAGGATAGAAAAACGGTGGCCGAGAGAAACAACATCCGGCTTCGGAAGACACGGGAACGACTAAAACGCATTGCTTGTAAGCTTCGTGGGCCTTTACATCAACTCAGTCACACTATAATACTTCGTGTGCTATTACTATTATAATACACTATGCTGTTGATAAGACCTTAGTACTATTTCTAGCTCATTTATACATGTACATGTATGTGTGTTACAATGGAGGTAATCCATGTGCTTTGCCTTTGGACGGAGAGTGCATCGAAGTGTAATGCCATGCCATGGGAAGGGATACTATGCATAAATACATAATATTCGAGTAGGTCCTATTGTGGGGTCGGAATCATGTCTGTACATAACACTCTGGATAGGGACATGCCTCTAAACCAATCTGACGCTATTGGACAGCGAACATCTACAGTGTATCGGTATGCCCATAAACCCGCTGACCATAGCATGACATTCACAGATCTGGCAAAACTAGAACCATGCGGTTTATATTTTTTTCCTTTCCCCTTGACTTGCTGAAATACGACACAAAAAAATTAAAAACATGTGACATACTCCCATGTACGGTCTTTAGTTGATAGCTGCCCGTAACTTCAATCTCGTATGTGCGCAGCTGCCTCGATCGGCTTCCTCTGCACTATGCTGGTTTTTTCCCTGTTCGGTGGACTGGCCTTGCTCATCCTCGGCTTGGAGGAGATCACGCCCAGGAGCAGCATGATCATCGGTATCCTGCTGATCTTCATCTTGCCGGCGGCGATTGGCGTTATGCAGTGTTGTCTGTGCATGGTGACCACAAAGCGACTGGACTTGATTGATACGGAAGAGCTTCACAATAACTGCGTGATCGAGCATTGAGGTGCTTGCATCTGCCTGGCTTTGCTCGGTAATAGCTTCTAACTGTCCACCAATATACATGCAGACTGTGCATAGAAATGTGCTCCCAATAACGCCTGTCTACATGATATCTGTGACAGAAATTCTTTAGATGCATAGCCCCTTGAGTACACGACCACCACCGCCACAAGACACCTTTTCACATGTAGTTTATCGGATTTCAGATTCTTCTAAGGCCAACCGTTGATGTAGAATAAGCTCTGGTGATATCAAAGTGTCTGATAAACATGCAATGCATGCTGTAGCGCAGTATACTTCCTATCATAATACATAAACGTAGGTGTTATCTGGAGTGATGTGAGTGTCAGCTTGAGTTCTTCATTGTGATCATACCCCAAGGACTATTTGTACTGTGAGGTTTGCATAATGTGAGCGCATCTGGTTGGTTGGTTTGTTGGTATATTTTAGTTTACTTCGCCAGAATGAACAGGCATTGCTGCCTTCTTTCCTGGACAAGTGGATTCTCCAAGCTCTCACAAAAAGACGAAGAAAGGAAAGAAATAATTATTACATGAGAGTGTATGCACATGTATAAAGTTGCTTGGCCACACAACCCCAGTATAGTCCCAGTCTCCTGAGGATTGCTTTTCAGCATGACACTCGTAAGTAGAGACATTTAATCACTTTTTGTTCCGCCGGATTTTCGTTTGTAAAGTTGCTTGGATGTACACGTACACCAAGATTGAATAATCTCCCTGAGAGCTCAGCGGATTTGACTCTTGTTTCTACCTATTTGAAAGTTTAAAAAAAATTATCCTGTTGACAGTAGGGGCAGAGATAAACTGAAGACTGTGCATCGGTTAGGGCTCATGATAATAATAATAATAATAATAATAATAATAATTTTTTCTAACGATGTGAACGGTTGCACTTTCTGAGCTCTGATGAGCAGAGCTTCCTTAGCGTTGCTCAATGGCTCGTCCGCTCAGGAAATTGAACGTTTTGTTCATTGTAATACTTATTTCAATAATGGATGGAAATGGGGGCCAGGGGGCCCGGAGAAAGCGCTGGTCGGAGGAGGAAGTGAGAGTGTTGGCTGAGTGCTACGCAATTGCGACGCCTGGAGGTGTCCAGTCTCGTGGGTACATGCGACGGATGCACGATGCTTGGTGTGGCAGGGGCCTGGAGAGACAGGTAAGCGAGGTAAATTTGGCCAACCAGTTGCGAGAAATTCGGAAGAGCGGACGACTCTCCTCCGCCGATGTCGAGGCCATTCGTCAGCAGTGCACGGCAGAAGAACCAGCAAGGACGGAGACCAGTCCAGAGGCGTCTCGGGATGTGCTATGTGAGGAAGCCATGGTGACTGGAGCGCTAGGCGACCGTGGCCTGGCGGGGTGCTGCGGTGGGGCTGGTGCTTCTCCTACTGCTAGTACTACTAGTGCTACTACAGCTAGTGCAGTTGCTGCTGCTGCTGGTGCGACTACTGCTGCTGACGTGACACCGCATGGCCAGGCTGTGTGCGCTTGTGCATGTGGAAGCAGTTCACCCCACGGTACGTGTACATGTGAGTTACCTAGTACTAGTGATGACAGTGATGACAGTGATGATGTGGCGTGTGGTGTTGAACCCAATCTACCGACTGTAGAAAACGCCACCAACACTGATGCTGAGCAGTACAACCTGGAAGATGAGCTGCTGCCCAAGGAGATTAGTGATGTAACGGAGGAGTTAGAGAAGAGGTATCGTGCAGAGGTCGTGGCCGACATGGCACAGCGACAATGCCTCCCTAATCCAACAAAAAAGCATGTACAAAATAAATTATTATACAGTGTTACCGCCATGGTCAACTCTCAGCTCAGGCTTGTGTGTCGCCGGCTATTTCCTGATGGTGAGGCGTCGCTCCATGAGATCAATTGCCTCGTGTATGCTGGTGCTTGCGTTTGCATATCGACTATCCAAGGCAGTCAGAATCATCCGACTGGCAATGCCAAGCAAAACGGAAGTGACAAGGACCATCCGCCGCAGTGGCAGATCCGATTGACAAAGGAAATCGATCAACTCCGCTCGGATGTTTCCCGACTCACCAGCATGCTACGATATCCATCGGAGAAACATCATGACTTCTGGAGGAGATATGAAGTTGAAGTCGGAAACACAGACGAGTTGGAAATGAAGCTACAGGGAAAGAAAGATCGACTTCTTGCGCTAGCAGCCAGGATGCGCCGATACCGAGAAAATGAAAAGGCCAAAAAAGCCAACAAAATGTTCCAAATGAATGAGCGTGCTTTCTACCGGACGCTTCGGGAGCCTGCACACCCTGTTAGTGGTGCTTCAAATCGATTGGAGACGCCGCAATTTCCAGAGGCGGGTGAAGCCACCGAATTCTGGAGTGATCTTCTGTCTACACCTGCGCCGTTCACCGCTGGTGAGTGGTATGTAAGGCAAGCAGAATATTATGAAGAACACGTCCCTGTGCAGAGTAGCGCAGTTATCACCCAGGACATCCTGGCTGACTGCCTGCGCAAACTAGCCTTGTGGAGGGCTCCGGGCCATGACAAGTTGCATGGGTACTGGTGGAAGAGGCTGACAAGCCTGCACTCTTACCTTCGGAGAGCCTTCCAGAGGGTGATAGATGGCCACAGTGACATTCCGGGATGGTTGACGTCTGGCGCTACTACTCTCCTTCCTAAGACTTCTCCACCTTCGGCAATGCCCAAAGATTATAGACCAATTACGTGTCTTCCGATACAGTACAAGCTCTTTACCGCCGCCATATCGAAGATTATGTGGCAGCACATCAATCAACATGAAATACTTGCAACGGAGCAGCGCGGTTGTGCAGCAGCTGGTCTTGGTTGCAAGGAGCACCTGATGGTGGATAAGATGATTCTGGAGGATGCCCATACGAAAGGGCGAAATCTGGTCATGGCATACCTGGACTTCAAAAAGGCATTTGATAGTGTGTCGCATGAATGGATTCTACATGCTTTGACGATGTATCGATTCCACCCGTCTTTGATCACAACTATTGCTCGTAGCATGCGGAACTGGAGAACGACAATGCACATATGCGACCAGGGAAGATGCAGGGTCACTACCGGCAACATTTCAATAAGAAGAGGCATATTTCAAGGTGACACATTATCCCCGTTACTGTTTTGCCTGGCGCTAAACCCAATCAGTTTTGAGCTCAACCGATTGCCTTTGGGATACAGAGTCAGCTGCAGAGACGCCGAGTTGTCTATCAATCACTCTTGGTACATGGACGACATTAAACTCTATGGGAAAACTACAAAGGATGTGACTACCCTCGTGTCTACCGTGTGTGGCGTTGGTGATGACATCGGCATGAATCTCAACCCGGCCAAGTGTGCCGTGCTGCACGTCAGGAGAGGAAAACCAGATGAAGGATTCTCTATCCAGGTTGGCGATGAGACCATTGCAGAGTCGCTACGACTCAATGAAACATACAAGTACCTTGGAGTAGTGCAAGCAGCCATGATACCTCACCCGAAGCTCAAGACGCAACTCACTGCAGAATACAAAAAGAGATTGTATTTGCTTCTTAACAGTGGATTGAATGCGCGAAACATGATCAAGGCCATCAATACGTATGCTCTGCCGGTTATGACATATAGTTATGGAATCGTAAATTGGACCGAGGCTGAAATCAAGACCACAGATCGAGTGACAAGATCAGCCTTGACTGCGTCTGGATTTCACCACCCCAAAGCCTCAGTCAACAGGCTCTACATGAAGAGGGGAGATGGAGGCCGGGGCTTGGTCTCTTGTGAGGATATGCACGGCCGGAGCATGTGTGGCCTGGCCCGCTACATGAGTACCAGCCCAATAGACAGAATAAGCCTGCTTTATCAGTATCATCAACAAAAACCTACAACAAAAAGCCACTCAATAACTGCAAAGGCCGCTAAGTTCCTGTCGAGTTTGGATCTGCCAGCAGCTGGACCAGCTTTACCCAATAAGCATACCATTAAACAAGCGTGCGCTGAGCGAAAATCCAAAACACTTTCCACTATGCCGCTGCATGGGAGATATTGGAGCCGATTGGAGGAGAATCGCCTAGATAAGGAGCTTACCTTCATGTGGTTGAAATCAAGGACACTGAAACCTTCAACTGAAGGCATGATTATGGCAGCACAAGACCAATCCCTCAAAACGAAAAATTACCAATACGCCATAATGAAGTCAATTCCTCGAACTGATGCCAATTGCAGGCTTTGCAAGGGCAGCTTAGAAACAATTGACCACATTGTCAGTGCCTGCCCAGTTCTTGCTCGGACCAGTTACATTGAACGACATAACCGGATAGTAAAGTATGTGCACTTCGAAATGTGTAAAGCACGAGATCTACCTACTGGTGCTTCACGATTCGACCACCAGCTCAAGGCATTGGTCAAGAGTAATCAGTATCGCCTCTATTGGGAGTATTCGGTCCCAACTGACCTGAAACTATCAGCAAACAGGCCCGATCTGCTCCTTGTTGATGACAAGGAGCGCATCGCCTACATTATAGACATCAGCGTTCCTGGTGAGAACAACATCAATAAGAAAATGGCTGAAAAGCGCTCGAAATATTATGATTTGAAGCGGGAGATTTCGAGGATTTGGTCCCTCAACCAGGTTGACGTGGTCCCTGTGGTTGTCGGTGCCCTGGGAGGCTTGGTGGGGGAGACTCCTCAATGCCTTCGGACTGTGCAGGGAGGAGACCTGGCTATTGTGCAACAGGAGGCTATACAAGGTTCGATTAAAATACTGAGAACTATCCTTAACATGTAGATGCACCTCTGCTGCGTTTGCATGTTCAATAGCTAAGAGACTTGAATAACGACTGATAAAGACTGATATTTCCTTTGTTACTACTCCCTTCATTGGTTGATGTATTTTGCCTGTCGCTGCAAATTCTTCATTATTGTTTTGATGTTGGAGTTCGGATTGAGTTTCTTTCCTTTCTTCCTCTTCCTTCAACTAGTTCTTGTCCCTTTGGTTTTTAGGTTTTATTTATTTATTTATTTTTGTTTTTGTTTTTTCACTTTCTTTTTGCTGTCCCACCCATGGAAATATTTCCCGGTGGGTCTGGCTTATCGCCTTCGAAAGAAGTGAATAAAGGAGAAATAATAATAATAATAATAATAATAATAATAATAATAATAATAATAATAATGTAGAAGAGAAAAGGACATATCGATACGAGTTAAGAGTAACTCTCCATCACTGTAACATGATACTATATACAGTCAGAAAGTGCAATAACTAGGCACAAAACTGACAGAGTACTGAAACATTCGACGTCCTGACACCTAGCTTCAACACATCTCCGTAGCGCTAACCGACAGCCTTCCAACTTGGAAGGTTCAAGGTTATGGAAAGACCAAAGAGGGGAAGGCAAGCGCAACGAAAACGAGCAAAAGCTACAGTCCCAACGGAACAAAGAATGTCGATTGTTACTGGACGATGACGATGACGAGACCAGTACGATATTTGACAACTGTGAAACAACTTGTTTTGTAGTCAACTAGTCCATCACAATGTCATGCATGAGGAGTACTGTAGGAGTTTGGCTTTCGGCTTGTACAATTCGTTTTCGCAAAGCTTCCCTTTCTTTATTTATCTTTGACATTTAGGACCCACCCAAGTTGGGTGGTGTGCTGCTTTGCTGCTTCGAATTGTAGTTAGACCGCTTTGTCAAATATCGTACTGGTCTCGTCATCGTCCAGTAACAATCGACATTCTTTGTTCCGTTGGGACTGTAGCTTTTGCTCGTTTTCGTTGCGCTTGCCTTCCCCTCTTTGGTCTTTCCATAACCTTGAACCTTCCAAGTTGGAAGGCTGTCGGTTAGCGCTACGGAGATGTGTTGAAGCTAGGTGTCAGGACGTCGAATGTTTCAGTACTCTGTCAGTTTTGTGCCTAGTTATTGCACTTTCTGACTGTATATAGTATCATGTTACAGTGATGGAGAGTTACTCTTAACTCGTATCGATATGTCCTTTTCTCTTCTACATTTATTTATGGCTCAACATCCGAGTTTCAAATAATAATAATAATAATAATACCACAGCACGCGTAATAATATAATTATGTGGGTATAATTATACGTTCCGCTTCTGTCCTATCTCCTATGATCAAATTCCATTATCAAGGTAATTATTAACACGGCGCACTGATGACCTGTGACGCCAGATCATGGATTGTCGGCCAGATTTCTCCATGTAGGCTTGTCCAGAGCGATGGCCCTCACATTCCCCAGCTGACTGCTGCGCTTCAAGTCGATGTTCCTCCTCTGTAAGTCGCTTGTGATGCGCGTCGCAATGGATGTCCTTGGACGTCCACGCCCAGCCTTGGCATCTCCCGCAAAATAGCCCGTCAGCGCGATCCATGGCGGCGCATCCCTGTCCATACGGAGAATATGGCCGGTTAGCTGCCATCTTCTCCTGTCCACGATGTCAGATAGTGGTTCCGTGTTGCACCTCTCATACAGCTCAGTATTTGATATCCTGGCTGGGTAGACTATGCCAATGAGGGCTCATGATTGCTACATTGTATATCAACGCTTGCACTACGTGAAGACAAACACTGCAACAGTTTACACTTGCCTTCGCGAGGTTCCTCATCATGTTTTACCAATTAGCCACCGTGTATGGCACCTGGGCCACCACCTGTTTTCATTCCTGTTATTACACATTGGGCGCTTTCGATTACACGCATTTCGGTCAATTCTAGAATTAGTTATTGTTGATGCACAGTTCGATTACACAAAAAGTGACAAATCCCGTCGTTAGAATTGATTTTATCCAATTCCGTCGAATCCATCAATTCTGAAGAGAAGGCGGAATTTCTCTAATTCTGGCGCCAGAATTGCACTGTCGGTGTGTTACCGGTTTGGTCATGACTCAAGCGCGCGAAGAGCCTCCCTGGCCGGCGTGTGCGCGATGCTAGGTCCACGTGCGCGCGATCGATCGCGAGGGTGTACGTGATCTTTTTGCGATTCATCAATTTCGTTTGTGACATGACATGAATAAAATGCGTTGTGAATTCCAGTCGTTCGTTTACAAGTCCGGAATACGCTCATTCTGGTCATTCCAGAATAAAAAAAACAGTTCCAGAATTGTGTAAACGTGTAATCGAAAGCGCCCATTGTACAGTAAAACCTGTCAAGGCGACCACTCGGATAAGGCGACCACCTGTCCTAGAAGACCACTGAAACCAGGACCAAGTGATGCTATTTCCAGTCAATAACCCTGGATAAGGAGACCACCTGGTAACAGACACCACGTTTTGAAGGTCCCGTGAGCGGTCGTCTTAGACAGGTCTCACTGTATTTCCCAACCTATTGTTGGGTTACTCTCCCTCTCCATTCCCATCACGTATAAATGTGCACACTGTCAAGAAAGACCAATGAGCGGAGTGGGTGAAAACAGCAAAAGAGAACATGAGAAGGACGCACATGTAGCAACATCAATGATGACAGCATAGGTTGCCACTTCTCTCCGCTATCAGGCTTGGTATTGACGACACCCTGATATTGATACATGCATCGATAATAATGTTGCATTGGCTGCACCTTAGTCCAGAGTCGCTCAGGCCGGATGAGCTTCTTTTGATCCCTGCTGGGTGTGTGTACGGTGACTGGTGTTTCTCCGAACAGTAGCCAATCAAGCAGTTTATCTCAATATTGGTTCATCATACAATGAATGTTTTCAGCCATAAAGAAGGGAAAAAGAAACAAAAAACAGTTGCAACTTTCGTGATGAGTCCATCCCACACTTTGGTAGTTCTTTGACCCTCAGGGATCAGGTCATGATATTCCACACCCTCCTACTATGACATACACCAGCTCCAGCACCTGACAGTGACACTGATACGTGTCAAGATAAGGCCAAAAACTACAGCCTGCTGACAGTGCCTTTGATCCGCGCTCTATCTCCTAGCTAATGCTTCGTTTGGTTGTGTTGTCACATATTATAGTCATGTATATTGGCTGATGACCATCACCCCCTCAGTCTGCGAGGCATACAATTTTAGAATCGTATCGTATCGCGTACAACCGCATTCCGTGTTGATCGACAGCAGGTGGCAAAAAATAGGGCTGGTGGTATTTGTAAAAGATATTGTCATACGATCACCATATGCACCAACTGGTGAGTCAACAAGATGCCCTTATGACGCCAGTAATGAAAGCCAGAACCTGTCAACCTGACAAACACGGACCGCATGCATGTACCGTCCTCGCCTGGAGTCACTGAGCAAGCAGCAGCTAATATCGCCAAGCAGCCTGCTATCCTTGCCTAGAACTCTAGCACTACGCTCGTTGGCTCAGGAACCGAGGAGATGAGCGGTGACATTTCTTTGTGAGAAATTGGCTATCCGTCGGAGGTTTGTGTGTTCTAGTAACCTCTCAAACGGTGCGATTATTCATTTGGATGCCGGAGCTGCTGCGACTCGGTGAAGCAAAATCGCTCTACTAGCTCCCATGCCATTTGCCCGCACCTAAGCATGGTTCCCATCACAGTTTCAATGGAGAGAAAGGCGCTGCATTCAATGGACGCAGAGTCCGACGTGCCCAGTAAGTTTCCAGTGAACTGCATAGAGTGCTAGTAGCCCGATCACGAAATGCAATCGATCTCATGTTCTCGGCGTGTATGTATCGGTATGTGTGCATGCTGGTGATTAGGAATGTCTCTTTGGAACCGCGCAAGTTTGTAAACTGCCTGTCATGTTACTGAAAACAATACAAAACATGTTACTGAAAACTGAGAGTCCATGACTGAACTAGTATTATCACCTCCTGCTTTTGTTAATTTAAGTCGCAGGTATATTGGTGTACTTCAAAGTAGGTGGAACTTTCTTTTATCTGATTCCGGTGACGCGGGTCCCCCACACCAAGCACGCCTGTCTGCCGACTATTCATGCATTACACTTGAGTGCACAGTGCATTTTCTCAGGCATTTTAATTATAATCTTTCTGACAAGGGCCACAAAGATCATGATAGCTACCACTGCCGGGTCGGCAACAATGCAGTTGATGTGGTTTTCAGTCCTTTTGGAGCCATGTTTCACCCATCTTAGGCAGGCAGGCATAGTGCCATAAATATTAAATTTTGGTGGGATACCATCATTGAGAAACAGAGGACGCCAGGTTCACTGTGTGGTGGATCTGATCACCTCACCTCCCAACAATTCAGGAGCTGCATCTGCGCCTTTGATCCCATGGGGGCGATGGCGTTCCTACGGATGCGGAAAGCTCCATCTAACTGAGTGTAACGCGAACTGTGATTTTTTCACTTCTCTTTGTTATACGGATGTACAGCTTTGCCAGCAAAGACTGGGCCACCCGAGGGGAAGACTCGCGTTACATCAACTTCCAGCTACAGTCAACTTCGCTAATAACGACTGCGGATATAACGACAATTCGCGAATAACGACCGAATTTCCATGCCCAGAGCAAAGTCCCATCTAACTGTATACATTTAACTTCGGATATAACGACTATCTGAATAACGACAATTCGCGTATAGCGACATGCTTTTAGTGCCCCGTGGTCATATTCACTGTTTGAATAACGACTTTCTGGGCTTTTGACAGCTATTTCAAGTACCTGTCAGTCAAGTACATGTACCTGTCATGCAGAAGTACCAGAACCTATGGTGCACTGGTGATGGATATTATTGCACACATGCAATGCAAGAAAATGCAGCCAAGGGGGGGGGGGCTTTTGCTTCCTTTTCTATGTTGGCTTCAAAATTGTTGGATTTACCAGCACACCTATATGTATACAATGTACATGTAGTTGTACATGATTGTACAGTAATCATCATACATGTACATGTCTCTGGCCCTGTAGATGGCTCAAAAAGGCATATTTTTCAATTGATTTCCCTTGCATATTGAATTTTTAGTTCCTTTCAACTGCAATATGAAAATAAAGTACACATTGACATAGAGCAAGAAAAGAGCTTGATTTTGATATGCATATCATACTATACAAAATATGGGTTCACATACATTCAAATGGGACTTCGGTTATAAGGACACTTCGCGAATAAGGACACTTTTCTGATGCCCCGCCGAATGTCGTTATTGGCGAAGTTGACTGTATTTCCCTACCCCGCTGTATGCCAGCGTTAGACTGGCCAGTGGCAAGCTTGCTCCGGTGTCTCCGGTGTACCGAACACACAATGCTCACGACTCGGGGAACGGTGGGAGAACATTTGGTAAGCAACCTATTCCGTTAAGTTGTCTTTTGGCTAATGTTTGTGACGATTTAGTGTACATGAGACTTTGGTCCATTACCTATAGCTCGTCACATGGTGGCGTCTTGCTGTCCAAATTATCGCAGTACTCCATCCAACCGGTATTACATGACTGTGTAAGGCACTTATTAATAGTTTGATGGGATGGCAAAAAAATGGCGATGGGTGGTAAATTACTGAATTGACTCAGAAAACCAGGGTTTCTTTTTCAAACATTTTGAAAAAGAAAACCCTGGTTGTCTGAGTCAACTGTTATTTAATAACAATCAAGCAGTGGGTCTCACCAAGCTGTACCAAAATATAAAAAACTGAGTAAGAAAATGACACATGGGTATTTGTAACGTGTACCGAAATACTTGCCCCTTTTGATCATGTCTTGATCCGGTACAGTACTGGTTCGAATTATATTACCGTATTTCCCCGATTATACATGTAGGTCGCACCTTTTTACACTAAAAATCAAGTGTGAAAAAGGGGGTGCGACTTACAATCGAGCATGACTTACTACTGAAGTCAATATCTCAAAACAATATTGCTCAAACATAGAAATGGGGGTGCGACTTATAATTGGGTGTGACCTATAATCGGGGAAATACGGTATCTTTCATTCGTCCCTCTTTACATCTGAACTTTGTACTGTTGAGGCAATGAACTGAACTCTAATAAAACCAACCAACCGACAAACCCAACACACTGGTTCAATAGAGAGTTACCGGATCACTTGATACGCTACACGGGGTGGAGTGTTTTGTAAAGGGGTACAAGTTCTTCCACCCCCGGAGGATGTTGTTGTTGTATACTTTATTTATAGCGAAAATCAAAACAGGCATAATGCCTAATAACAATGGAACCACTGTGAACAAAGATTTAAAGGATATTGTGGACAAAGAAGAGATAGAATGTGAAGAAGAGGTTGGTGCGACTTCGGCGATAATAACACACACTTCCCCAAAGAAGAAATAGGAAAAAGAAAGAAAACAAAACGGAAGTTGGTTGTAACGAACATACTACAAGTATATCAATCCAGAGAGCTATGGAGAACCTACGTAGCTGATAATGTATACTGCAAGGCTTGAGATTTGAAATCCAAATACCTATTTGAACATTCTGCTTCTGACGGCAATCTGTTCCACATAATGGCTCCAGCGTGAGTTAGGCACTTAGCAGGACAGGCAGTGCTAGCAGGTGGAACCACAAGCAAGTTGCTTTGGCATCCTCGAGTGCGGGTTGAGGGCATGACAGCAAAAAAGGACTGAAATAGTGTGCCACATGCACCATGCAAACATCGTCAGATGAAACAAAACATATTCAAGTGCACAGAAACCTGTAGATCATATACATGCATTCGATTTAGCAGGGGAGCAGTGCTGGTCCACGGTCGAGACTTGCAGACTGCCCGAGCGGCACATTTGAACAGCCTGTGTAGCCGTTGTTCCTGAGCAACTGACAAATGCGGGTAGTAAGTTAGTAACTAAGGCCACGCCGTTTTTTTCTATGTTTCGAGTCACCTTATTCGATGAAATCAATGAGGGAGGGCGAAAAAATAATAAAAAAGCCATCGAAAAAAACAGTGTACGTGCATTGCATTTGTGTACAGTGAAGCGACGCGGCACTGTTCATGTACATGTATATTGACATGAATACATGAGTGTATCCCCTCTGCCATGCTTGTGGTCCAAACACAGGCGGCATGATGATTGTCTGACTTGCGGCCCAGCTTATTGCACACACGTGTACATGTACATGTGTGTGAGCTCAGTAACATTTTACGGTTTTCTGGGTTTGCATTAAATTTGTATTCATTTTCAACAAAAAAATTGTTCCGTTTTTTAATTTTTTTTAAACTCCGGCTGTGAAATACATGCGCGCGGGGGACGCGAAACATAGATAAAAAACGGTGTGGCCTAATAGAAGAATAAGAAAATTCTTGCAAAATGTTAGATCTAAAGTAGGTGACTCGGCATGGATATGGCAGCCAGGAAGCATGTGGGAGCGGGACAACAATGATTTCGCAGGCAACGCGACGAGCAACATGGTCCGGGAGGATGTATTGTTATATTGTGCTGGATTTGTTTTACATGTACACAGACGCGTGCCCAGTATGGGTTCCTGGTTGCCCGGAACCCCCCCCCCCCCCTTTTTCGCTCAATATGCAGGATTTTGCTTCATTTTTTGAAATTTTTCCCGGGGGAAGCCCCCGAACCCCCCCCCCCCCTTGAAGGGCACCGACGCACGCGCCTGCATGTACATGCCTCTCTAGTGTACCAGGCTGCTCCATGAGTATGACCACAATGGGGGATTAGCTTGTTGTGTGGTCTTGCTGTGGATCTCTATTGGTCTCCAATTGCCTTTGAGTAGACATGTACATGTACATACAGTCAACTTTGCGTATAACGACACTCGGCGAGTCATCAGGAAAGTGTCCTTATACCCCTAGGTCTCATTAAATGCACTACAGTTAGAAGGGACTTTGCTCTGGGCATGGAAATTCTGTCGTTATTCGCGAATTGTCGTTATATCCGCAGTCGTTATTAGCCAAGTTGACTGTACATGTACAGTGCTGCCCGATGAAATCCAGTCGATGCACTCACTGTGTGTACGCGCTGGGCATTGCGCGGCCCTAGACCTGCGAACACTGGGCTGCGAAATGGTGCACGGTGTAAACTTGAGTGCCGTGGCTGGATTTCATTGAGTGTCGCGGCTGGATTTCATTGAGTGCCGCGGCTGGATTTCATTGAGTGCCGCGGCTGGATTTCATTGAGTGCCGCGGCTGGATTTCATTGAGTGCCGCGGCTGGATTTCATTGAGTGCCGCGGCTGGATTTCATTGAGTGCCGCGGCTGGATTTCATTGAGTGCCGCGGCTGGATTTCATTGAGTGCCGCGGCTGGATTTCATTGAGTGCCGCGGCTGGATTTCATTGAGTGCCGCGGCTGGATTTCATTGAGTGCCGCGGCTGGATTTCATTGAGTGCCGCGGCTGGATTTCATTGAGTGCCGCGGCTGGATTTCATTGAGTGCCGCGGCTGGATTTCATTGAGTGCGGCGGCTGGATTTCATTGGGTGCCGCGGCTGGATTTCATTGAGTGCCGCGGCTGGATTTCATTGAGCAAGACTGTACATGTAGGTGTGGCCGGCGTTTAACCATCGCACTAAGCTGCTAGGGACACTTTTTGCCTGTTTTCTTTCTTCGTCTGTTTCTTCACAGAGGTTCTCGTGATACTGGCAGTTGTTCTATTGGTTGTAGGGGGTGTGGCACTGCTCGTTGCTGGCCTGCTTATTCACCAAATGTGGCTGGTGGGAGTTGGAGTTGTTCTGATGGTCGTTCCACCATTCGCCTTTTTCAACGTCGTCAGTATCTACTCCAGAAGGTCTCTTCAAGAGAAGGTAGCGCCAGCAGGGTACGACGCCAACTTGGCCAGCGTGTCTGATCCTACCAAGAGCACACTGCCTGCTGCCCGCAGAGTTCTCTTCATGACGCTGGATTCGAAGCCTGTTGTCGATGACGTGTTCGCTATGTCGCCGAGCGAGACGGAGAAAATCAGTTTGGCCACGGGAACAAGCTATGAGAAACGATCGCCACGTCCATTTGCTACGCCAGATCCTGCCCAATCTACGTCTACAATGCCAGGAGCCGTTTCAAACCTGGGCCTTATACCAGAGCAAGTGGAATGAGTGTAGGTCGAGGACATAAAACAGCACAAATATTCCAAATTTTGATTTTCACAAATTGCCGACATATGATTATTATAAACTTGAGATAAACTCTGCTTGACTGCGTTCACAATTTTGATCATTTTTCAAGACTTTTGCCTTTAATATAAGTTCCTATCTATCTTAGCTTGACCTACCACGACGAAGTTCTGAAAACGATTCACTGTTTTATTGGTACTCGAGATGCCCACTATATTATCAATAATCATCACTGTGCCATTTGTGGTGAACACAATCATCTTTTTTTCTTTTCTTTTCTTTTTTACAACGACCACAGCTCACAGGGAAAGACAAACAAATTGCATATTGGGAGCATAGTGATGGTGAGGCTTTTTGCCCTCTGCCGACCTGAAGTCTCGACGTCATGGGGACATACAACGCACCAAATAGAAAGAAGAAGGAACAAATGAAAGGAGTGACAGGTGTACATGATACGAACTGTTAGGAGGAGAGACAGGACATTTGAAGGAGGATTATGGTTGGACAATCATGAAAACTCTTTTTTTTCATTCAGAAAATACAAAGGAGCTGCAAGACGTAAGGGGTTGTGCAATCATGCATCTGTTGATTAATTGTTAGTGAGTGGGGGAGTGGGGATTGGAAGAGGCTGGTGCATTCTAAAATTCCTTATACAGTCAGACCTCGTTTAATCGCACACATCCGTTTTCCACAACAAAATATTCGGATAGATGAGGGAACCAGATAATCATCAAACACACATGCTGTACGTATGCATGGCATATGCTGTACTCGGTGCCCAACGATTTCTTCTGGATAGTGAGGGATCTGGATAAAAGAGGATCTGACTGTACTGCTTATACACTACTACAGTCATGTGCAAGTACATCGCTCTGCATCCAAGTCTTTCGCGCCCTAGGAAAGGAAAGCCTGTCACACTCCCAGGCAAGCTTTTTTTTTAAGTGTTGTCAATACATGTAAAAAGGAAAGGTATGATATGGAAACGAGTTAAGCGTAACTGTCCACTTGTAACTAGATGCTATAATATACAGTCAGAAAAAGTGCAACAACTAGGCACAACACTGACAGAGTACTGAGACATTCGACGACCTGACACCTAGAGTGTAGCTTCAACACATCTCCAAAGCGCTAACCAACAGCCTTTCAACTCGGAATGTTCTAGGTTAATAAGGTAGACCAAAGAGGGGAAGGTAAGCGCAACGAAAATGAGTACAAGCTTTTAAAGTCCCAGTAACAGTCGGCATCCTTTGTTCCCGTCAGATCACAGTTGCATACACTTGCTTATGGACTCTGGGTCTTTCCGAAGCCTAGTTTTTCATGTACAGTCCTTCCCCAGACGCGCAAAAAACACCTCTCCACTAATCCCGATATAACAGATTCTTGACTGATTTTTTGCCGCGGAAGCGAAAAACTATTTTCAAATTTGACAACTGTCCTAAATTGGTTCTAAGAGATGGAAGCCGTTTTACATGGCCTATGTCGTTTTACTTTGCACCATCTCGTTATATTCCACACTATGTATTCTTGAAGGGACGCTCTTCCGGCACGTATATTTTTTGTGAAGTTTTGCAGAAGGCGGAGACAGACGTATATCGAAAATGCAGTGAACGAAGCTGAAATTGATTTCTATGCACCTAAGTCTACGGCGTCCCAGTCTACGGTATGAAAAGTTGAACAGATTCAGCTCTTCCCATCGCTTCCTAATCTGTAGGGTAGAACGGTTGCGTTCCCGTTCCTGGTGTTCACATTGGACGCTGTCAGTCGGCATCATAACCGTTCCGTCGGCTCCCGTCACTCCTTACGTTGCGCCCCGTCGATTGTGAGCTCAGCTATCGTGTTGGTCACGCTCTGTATTTAGGAAAGTACCATGCAAATGGATTATACCATTCATACTCTGTGTATACCGAGTCCCCCAACGCCGGTATACCCCTCATACCCATGGTAAAATCCATACCTATGATGTACCGTACTCGCGCGATTAGTGCCCCTGGGGCACTATTTTTTCAATGTCCATCACAGATGGGGCAGTATTCAAGAGAGGGCACTATGTTTTCATTGCTGGTACACATTTGCGTCATCCAGCATAAAACAAAGAAAAACAGAGCCTAAAGTGTACTACTGTAAACGCTCACGACTCCACAGAAACGGGAACAAGACCTGCAATTTTGTTCCTGAAAACACCAGTGCAAAGCAATGGCCAAGAACATTAGCAAAAGAACACCAAACTTGCACATGAGCTTGGTTACAAGATCAGGGGGGGGGGCACTATTCAAGAGAGGGCTTTATTTTTCACTGGCTCTTTGGGACTAGGGGACGATTCGAGATAGGGCACTATTCAAGAGAGGGCTCTAATCGCGTGAGTACGGTAGGCATGCAATGGAAAATAAACAGCAGGTGATATTATTATAATATATAAACAGCAGATGATATTATCATCTGCTGTTTATTTCCATTGCAGGTTAACGTCTCAATCAAGCATTGTCATCAAAACCTTGCACAGAAGAGTGTTTGTCAGCGGTGTCGGTCATCCTCTGGGATTCTCTTTCGTTATTACTGAAGCTCAATTCCCAATACATGAACTGCTTTCCACGATGAGCAACATGCAACACCACGACAGACGATTCACAATCTATTTTGTTTCTGCGACATCTACCGTAATGTCGCGTGCATAAGCCGGATTTGTGCATAAGCCTGTCTCGTGTAGAAGCATGAAATCTGCAACAGCTTTTCGCGTACAAGCCTGTCGCATGCATAAGCCGGGCCAGTACACGAGACGCGCCACGTGTCGCGTGCGTAAGCCGGGCTACTACGCAAGACTGGTGAGCGCGCCTTTTACATGTTCATGTTTGCATGGTACCGTACACTTGCGAAAAAAAAGAAAACAAATCCCGTTGGAAAATGTTGGTTTTGACGTCCAAAAGTCAGCAGTTTGCGCATACAAGCCTGGTCATTGAGTGGTGCTTGTCATATAAGCCTGTCTTGTGTACAAGCCTGACTCCATCACCGGCTTATAGGCATATAAGCCCCGGCTAATGCACGCGACATTACGGTAAATGCAGTGCGTAGTACCTTCACGCACACCCAGCCTATACATTCCATTCGTGCACAACGCGCTTGGCAAAAGTGATGCTCTTGCCAACTTCTGGGATAGTGGCCCTGCAGCTGCTTGCGACATGGGCGCGACAGGCATTTCCTCACCACAAGTTAAATCGCAGAAGGTGATAATTGTGAATTGTGCTTTAAATCAAATTCAACGTTTAGTATGTAGTCCAATTTGTTGAACAATAATGGGTGACCAACTCCTCTCCTGTCCATTTATTCTCCTGCTCGTGTTTGCATGGTGGTTATAAGTACTGTATACCCATCGAATGATGAATGATTATGTACTACGGTGTCAGGGTACGTCTGTTGATATATTTACATCCAAAATATTATGTTCAATTTTCACTTGAGCACACAAGGGTTGGAAGCTTATAAACACCGTATACATCTATTCTTTAGGATGTTCTCCATTGATATAAGGAAATATCTCACCTGCTCAAGATGTTCATGTAGACTTTGAGGCCGACTTTCGCATCGATGTTGGCTATCCCCCCGGCTCATAGCACTTAGGGAAATGATCCCTACCGCCCGGGGCATTCTATCGCGTTGTTTGAACTCTCCTGGCGGCAGGGCATTGCCAAACTGATTACCTATTATGAAATAATTCAAGGGATGTGGAAGAAGCCTTCACTGCTCGACCCAGGCCGATAACCCTATTTCATACATACCCCCAAACTAGACCAATTATTTGAAAATAATTTCTCAAGCTTGATCGCGCGATGTCGAGAACGTTTCCCGGCAAAAAAAACTTTGAAATCTGTCATTATGGATTTTGGGAAATAATAAAAATTGAATTTTGAAAGAAAGTAATAGTTGTGTCGAGCCGACATAACATGTCCACTTGCGTCCTCTCCATTCACAGTCATTGTGCCACTCACGTCTTGCGTTGAGAGATTCTATCGGGGAGTAAGTAGTTGGCAGAGTGGTGCAGCCTCCTTCACCACTGACACCAGCAGCCGCTGTTTCTGCACACCCAGCGTACTAATTGGATACGGAATAACTGGAATTTGTGAGTGAACTCTTGAACCATTCTTTCTCATTCCATTTACCGGTACATGCATTCGATTTCCGAAGGCTGTGCATGTCCTGGAAGTACCAGTCCTGTGAAATCTTGGGTGTCGACATCATGTCATTGGGCGCTTTCGATTACACGTTTACACGATTCTGGAACTGGATTTTTTAATTCTCGAATGACCAGAATGTACAAATTCCGGCCATGTAAACGAACGACTGGAATTCACAACGCATTTTATTCATGGCATATCACAAACAAAATTGGTCGTAAAAAGAGATCATGTACACCCTCGCGCGCACGTCGACCCAGCTTCGCGAACCGGTCCATCCCGGTGAAGGCTCCATGTTGGCAACAATATTGGGCTTCGATAAAGCTGAACGCGTGTGCGAAAGGACCACACAAAATGATCTGGTCTAATAATCAGCTCCCAGCGGAAACTCAACTGCGGCAATTAGCTTTTCGGGAAGACAAAAGAAGTACAGTCAACTTCGCTAATAACGACTGCGGATATAACGACAATTCGCAAATAACGACAGAATTTCCATGCCCAGAGCAAAGTCCCATCCCACTGTAGTACATATAATGAGACTTCGGGTATAACGACACTTCGCGAATAAGGGCACCTTTTTGATGCCCCGCCGAGTGTCGTTATAAGCGAAGTTGACTGTAAAAATAAGAAGGACAAAATGTTACGAGTTATGACTGTCCACCAACGTAACCACATCTTATACAGTCAGCGAGTAACATTTTGTCCTTCTTCTTTTCACAATAATTTAATTGGCTCACCATCCGAGTTACAAAAGAAGTAGCAACTACATGCAGTTGTAGCCCTGCTTTCTCACCACACAGGCCAGGGAGGCTCTTCCTTGACTTGAGTCATGCATGACCAGCTGGTAACACACCGAGTGTGCAATTCTGGCACCAGAATGAGAGATATTCTGCCCTCTCTTCAGAATTGACGGAATTGGATAAAAATAAATTCTAACGACGGAATTTGTGTAATCGAACTGTGCATCAACAATAACTAATTCTAGAATTGACCGAAATGTGTGTAATCGAAAGCGACCATTGTGTGCAAATACGGGTACCGTATCTTCCCCAATAAATGTACAGTACTTTTATTTTTTCAAAGGTGGTCAGACCTGTACTACTATAGGAGACTGTACTAGTATTGGAGATGTGTACTTTTATTGTTTCTGAAAAGATTGATTGCCTGGGTTGGGTGGCAAACAACTCGTGATAATGATACTGTAAGGCTGTAAATGCATCCCAGCAAGCACCATGGTAAAGGGCGATTCACAATACAACTTTCTGCGACGCGACACGCGATTTGCGACAAGAAAATGCCTGCCGCGAGCTGTCGCAAGGCACCTGTCGCAGAAGTTGAAGAAAGTTCAACTCTTGCGACATGCGACACGCGACATACACAAATGGAGTACAGTTTCGACCCTGGGTGCACGTGCAGTGCACGTGCATAGTACTACTTGTGCATGAGGATATCCAGATGTCGCAACAAACATGAAAAATATTGTGAACCGTGTGTCGCTGTCGCAGATCGTCGCATGTGTCGCAAGTCGCATTTCGCGTCGCAAGAAGTTGTATTGTGAATCGGCCTTAAGAATCAGTGTACAAAGACACAAAGATGATAAACGGGTAAGAAAAACGAAGTAAGGTGGACCCTGGTACCTGTACCCCAGAATACCCATCACATCATTCCCGCATGTACTATTATTAGAGACGTGTCCTTTTACATTATTTTTGATCCACGCTCAGCATGTCACTACAATTGGAGACGTACTACTTGTAGTATTGGAGACGTGTACGTTAAATAGGAAAAATACGGTAGGCTGGAAAAGGGCCCAGATTTAAGATTTCCACGTGCTGTGATCGCATCGTATCGTACTCTGCATGAGCAAAGCGACAAACATTTCAACATTTGGGAACAATGGTAGGCTGCGCCCTGAGCCCCTGCGTTCTTCGTCGCCTGATCTTACTGTACTTCCTGCGCTTAGTCATCGACTGTGCGAAGAAGGAGAGCTAATGCAGAACGAAATATACCATTTTTAAAATTATCAAATTAATTTAATACATGACGCGTTGTTCGTGTACACGAAAGACCCAGAGTCCATAAGCAAGTGTATGCAACTGTGATCTCTTTTCTACGGGCCAGACGTGTGGCGCGCTGCCTCATTGCATCATGCATCAGCATCGTACTGTGGCACTTAAAACACCACGAACCACCTGCATTTTGAAACCGACTTTCGTATTGAACTGAAGTTTCTGCACCTAAAATTTTAAGATCGCGACGGTTCTCAAACAAATCCAGCAGAAAAAACGCCTGTTTTCATACAAGACACTCGTGGATTTCACTGCATGAGTACGGGGCGTGTGGCAGACAAGTTACGTAACGACGGCAGCACGCCACACAGCAACACATAAGCACACGGTTGCATACTCTCGGAAAGACTCATACCGTCATAGATAAACAAATATACGGTATCCGTATCACAGAACGGACAAAGCTGTTCTCAACTGGTTTGCTTTTTTGCTGAAGCCACTCTAGGTCTGAAAAAACCCCGCTGAGAAGCATTCTCCACCTAAGCCGTATTTGTGTGAATCGGGGTCTGAGAAGGAAAGCGTGTGCCATCTGCTATTCCCGCAACAGCAACAACAACAATGTTCGCTGGGTACGAAGTAACACAAGTAATATACCCATGGTCATTGTCCTTGGTTCTGTGCGGGGTCAGTTTGACTATAAGAATACTTTTCTGCGGGAAACGGAACGTGGTAAGACCTTGGGCCACTCAAGAATTTTGGATAGTACATGTGTGTGTGTGTGTTTGTGTGTGTGTGTGTGTGTGTGTTGTGCGTTCATGCGTGTGTGTGTGTGGGGGGGGGGGCGTGTATGTGTTTGTGTGCGCGTGCCTGCGTGCACTAACCGGACAGTAACGCGGACACCATTCTAACGTCCCAATACCTTAACTCAGCGATCTAGGTTGCTGTTCCTTGTGTGCATTTTCTCGCTGGCCATCTGTAATGCCTGCTTCTGTTTGTTCTCAGGTCTACTCATGTATGCTCAGGGCATAACGGCTGGCTAAGCCCTCGCTCAGGATGCCGAGACGAGGTGAGGCCTTGCCCTGCTTACTGTGTATCGACTGTCATGTACATTGCTTTTTGTTCTGTGTTTTTAGTGTTGCGAAATAGTGGAATTTGCGTTGCCAGGAATGCTTGATACTCACAAGTGTTGCTTGCTCGTCTCTGTCCTTGTCTTTACGTTATCTGTGCGTGGTGATGTGCGATTCCTGTGTAACGTATGGCTTCGGTGTTGTCTAACGTATGGCATGAGCGGACAGGAGTTGCAAGTGTGCGTTTTGAAAGCCCAATTGACCGATTTATGGTCGTCAAAAGGAAATTGCTCTGACGCTTGAATGTCATGGTTGGAACTATGTTGTACACCAACACAGATTTCCGCAACATGTCTTGATAGGAACGTCCCTGCTTCGAGTTCAGGTGTTGACAGTCAAATTTCTTAAATCTCAGGGGTCGTGGTGGTGGTGTGGGGGGGGGGGGGGGCACCGTAAAAAAATATTCCCATAGGTATGCAGAAGATGTCGCGAATAATACCGTTTGGTGCTAGCCAGGGTCCGCAGCGCTTTATTTCGTGTGTGTGTTTGTGTGTGCGTGTGTGTGTGTGTGTGCGCGTGTGTATGTATCTGTGTGTGTGTGTGTGTGTGTGTGTGTGCGTGTGTATTTATCTGTGTGTGTGTGTGTGTGTGTGTGTGTGTGTGTGTGTGTGTGTGTGTGTGTGTGTGTGTATCTTCAGGCGGCCGCCGCACCGGTACAGCCGGCAGAAGCAGAGCACGTCGAGCCAACCGGCACCACCACCATCGGACTGTCCGTCACCACCACCACCGCAGCCACTTCAGTCATGCCCACCGCAGCCACTTCAGTCATGCCCACCGCAACCATCGCACCCGTCTGCACTTTGGCCATGGACGTGCGCGCAGGGGAGGCGGTGCCGGTAACGGGGTGGTTGTTGTGGGAAACGGGCCCAGTAAGTTTGTTTGTTTTCGTTTTAAGAGTCAATGTCTGTAACGACCAAACATCACCCGACATGGCCAAATTTCCGATTTCGCTCAAAGTTGGCTCCTTTTATCCCTGAGTGGACCTTCTGGCCTGATCTGGGCCATCTTTGGTCCAGAGACCCTCCGTTTCTTGGATATTGAGCAAAATAAAAAAAAATCCGACTAAAATGCGCACTGAAAGAAGGTACAAGAACGAGGGGTTGCTGCTGCTAACAACTACACAGCGCAGCCAAACCAACTATGTTCGCACACCGATCCAAGTTACCTAGTAATGTTTAGCCATCCACATTTCGACTGGCGACTTACTGAGTCCCTGGAACGAATCGATCAATTCAGCCTGTCCAATGGTGGCCATTACGAAGGCCATCTTCAAGGGCCGGTAGCAGCGGGGTTACGTCCTGAAATGGGGAGTAGATGACCACCATAGTCTGCTACAACATGTCCCCTAGCACCAACAAGTGGTCTTGAATAAAGGTATCACCTAAAATCAAAAATATTCAAATTTCAAACTCTCCAACGGCCATGCACTAGCCGACCCCAACCTCGTGGCAGGAAAGCACACACAGAGCGTCTCCATTATGCCTTTTCGTGTGTGTTTCTGTCTGTGTGTGTGTGTGTGTGTGTGTTTGCCTTGTCGTTGTGAATGTCTCTCTCTCTCTCTCTCTCTCTCTCTCTCTCTCTCTCTCTCTCTCTCTCTCTCTCTCTCTCTCTCCCTCTCTCTGTGCTCACACCCGTGCATGTGGAGCTGCATGTTGCGTGTACTGCCTACATTTCCTTTTATTTGCATAGATCCATGCGGCATAGTAGCTATGAGTTTCGGTTTCTTCTTCCTCTTCATTAGTTCTATATTACTCGGTTTGGGCGTCTCTCAATCGATCACGGGAATGGCTGTAGCTGGCGGTGTAATCCTTTCCTTCGCCGTGATGCTGTGCTGTGGAGGAGTGTTCGCGTGTGCAAGCGGCGGGCGCAGCGGGCCACAGGTGGGTGACATCGAGCAAGGCCGTGGCAGTATCGGTTCCACCGCCACCACCGTCACGCAGCCCATGCCTGACCCGAGCGCACCACTCGATCAGCAGTACCCGGCACTGGCCGGTGGAGCTGATTCGGTGAGCGCAGTAGCTCCTCCACCGCAAGCGGGCATTCCCGTAGGCCAGCCGTACAATCCCGGATTTTCCGCCGCCGCTCCGCCTGTCTATCCTGCAGCGCAGCCCGCTGGAGCTGCGCCGTACACGGCGTATCCGGTTGCACTGCACGCACAGCCACCGTACCCCACTGGCGCCGTGCCTGCTGCAGCAGCTACGGCGTATCCACCCGGAGTTGCGGTTCCAATGCAAACGATAGGAAACGTGCAGCCCTACGCTGGTGGCGTTGCCGGCAGTGCTGCTGTACCAGCGTCTGATGATGTAGGCGGTGGCCTGCCCAGCTACGACGATGTCGTTGGCAAAGGCATTGCCTGAGCAGCGTATCTGCGATCGGTGTGTTTGCTCAGCACAATGTACTCTGCACGGCTCGGTGTCTGCCAATGAACTCGGCGACGAGGTTCCTTGTTGCAGTGCCATGCAGCCTGCTGCTTCCTGAGACTGTGCGTGTCAATGCGCATCTGATCTGCGTGCGTCCCTACTCCATTGGAATCCCTTTACAAGTACTACTCCAGACCATTGTGATGGATTGTCAAAAATGTGTCATCGTACTGAAACTCATTGCTTTTAGACGTAGCACTCTTTGTATCTACTGAACCAGCTGTCCCTGCGGAAGATGTGTACTGACTTCTTTTGAATCTATCCACTGACAGCAGGAGATCATAATAATTATACGATTAAAGATTATGTAACAAGAAAGCAAGCAGTAGCACTCAGCCCTTGAAGTGGACGCAGAATTATAGATTATATTTATAATACCTTATCACACCTGAGGCCAGACTGGACTATCTATATCATCTTGAGCATCACAGCTGCTCCTGCAGCTCCACTGAAAGTAGCTCATCAACGCATGTTCTTTTCGTTCTCAAGACTTTGTTAGACTTTCTTTTTTATTGGGGTTTTTCTTTTCTTTTTCAATTGTACGCAATGTCGTACGCAACTATGTATACATCAGGACAACTCTTCCTCTTTGTTCAAGTCGTGTGGTTTGGTTGAGGACATAGACATGTAGGCCCCATTTTATCTGACATGTATTGCTACCTCCCTTGGTCGCAAATTATTACTAATATTAGACAAACTAATAGTGTGCTTTGTAGCCTGATTAGGGCTATCTCCCCACGAAATGTAGTACTTCTTTTGTTCTCTCTGAATCATCTCTATTGTTTAGGAGTGGAGCCAATCAGCAAATGAATTGAGTTCCAAGAGCTACCGGTATCTATTTTCTGCTTTATTCACCCACGAAATGGCATGTAATTATAACACAATCATTGCGCCTTGACTTGTACATGATTGTACGACTAAAAGTTATTTTTTATATTTGGTGTGTGGTCGCCGGGGGGGGGGGGGGGGCTTTGTGTGTGTACGCATGCGCATGCAGGGCCTGGGCTTGAAGTTGTAATGCACGTCATCGGTCTTCACTTACAAGAGAACATGTGCAGAGAGAGTCAGCTTCATGCATTGTCACGATTCGCGTGGTATGTGTGATACAATCTGTCCCCGTGAATTCCGTGCAGAATTCTGCGGTAATTCTGCAAATTCTACAAGGGAAATGACTCAAATGAGCGTAAAAACAGATTGGATTTCCACAACCCCACCGAAGTTTGTTGTCCCTATAAAGGCTATAAATTCCGAATCAAAATTATGCGAAATCCTGTTCCAAAAAAATTGAAAGCTCCAAAATGTACCGTGCAAGTTGATTTTGGAAGTCACAAGCAGGTTGGTTTAGCTGTGAAATACATCAAAAGTCTCCAGAAAAAGCAGTTTTTCTCTCTCTTCTGCAATATCCCGCGGGATTTTCTGAATTCTGCGGACACTACTCGTACTGGATTCTGCGGAAATTCTGCAATACGTGGAATCGCGGAATTCACGGGGGACAGATACATGATACATATGAGTATTTTTATTTTTTACTATTGACAGCCTGAAAACAGGTGGAGAACAAAAAGAAACGAGGAAAGGACAAAACATAGGGGATGCAGGGACGACGTGCTGATGTGCTGGGAGCAACTCAACCGACCAGAGGTCTCGGCGTCAGCGTTGCAACTAGGCATCGAAAAGGGGGGGGGGGGGGAGGGTTGCACAAGAACAACTGCAAAACAAACAGAAGCTAGTGAATACCACAAAATATTAACTTGGTGCGAAATAATGAGAAGAAAATAATGACGCCCAAAAGCGCTTAACACGAAATTAAGAAAAAAGGAAATCATAAACTACATAGCGCTAAAGCTGCACCAAATAATAATTTAAACTATAACTAAACCGGGTGGAAAACCAAGAAATCATAACAAAAAAAACTAATAATAAAAGGTAAATGAAGCCCAATATAGAAAAGAAAAAGGACATATGGAAACGAGTTGAGAGTAACTCTCCACCCGCACTGTTACTACAGTCAAACCTCGTTAGGACGAACACTGATAAGGCGAACTTTCCATTAGTACGAACTAAGGCCAATCCTATGGTTGGCCAGGCATCAATTCAAGTCAAAATTATTCGTTTACGACGAACTTCTGTACAGCGAACTTTCGCGAAGACGAACTATTTTCAAGTGTGATTTGAACAAAGTCAGTGTGGTCATGTACATGTAGTACGAACTTTCGGTCCACGAGCGCTTGCGTGCGCTGGCTGCTTTTTTCTTCTTTGTTTTCAATAGTCGAGGTCATATTGTACGTACAGTGCAAATTGTTTTCAAGCGTGTTACTAACAAAATAATCAGTGCGTTGTACGAACTTTCGACACAGTCGTGATTCATTGCACTTTGTCATTGTACTTACCTGTTTCTGGCTTATGCTAAGAATAACATGCTTCCCATGTACACCAGCATGCACCTTCACGTACATGTAAATACAATCCATATGATATGCATATCGATTTTTTGTCAGATCTGGACAAGAAGAACTCCCGATAAGACAAACAAATGTGTTCAGTCCCTTGAAGTTCGTCCTAACGAGGTTTGACTGTAGATACTAAATACAGTCAGAAAGTGCAACAACTAGGCACAAAACTGACAGAGTAGTGAGACATTCGATGTCCTGACACCTAGCTTCAACACATCTCCGTAGCGCTACCCGACAGCCTACAGAGTTGAGTTACTCTCAACTCGTTTCCATATGTCCTTTTTCTTTTCTACATTTATTATTGGCTCAATACTCGAGTTTCGAGAAGCCCAATATCATCAGCATAGCCGAACCAAGGAACATGACCCGTGCCACAATCAAGAGTGCATCCGTAGAAGTCAGTAGCCATCAGCCAGTGTTGGTGGATTTACTGTAGACACAAACAGTGCCGGCCGGGGCAGCTCCAATGTATTCAATCATGTACCGTATTTTCTCTAATAAGAGCCCGGGGTTCTTATTTGTTTAGTGACAGCTCTACCCGTGCTACTATTAGAGACTGGGCTATTATTTTTTCAATTGTCAACTATCAAGCCAACTCCAGTCTATACAGGCGTAAACTGACCATATCAAGACTGATTTTTCAACCCTAAACTCAGGAATATTGTCAAAACAGATGTTTGACAATAGCATTGGCGCCAGGAAGGAAGCAGTAGACCAAAAACCTCCTTACAAATATGTTCTTGGCATGTCGTACTGCTGTTTTAGATGCAGTCAATATACTTGTTGCATACTCCAATTGTGACCCGCCCTACTAGTATTAGAGACCGGGCTCTTATTATTTCAAACCGCCCTCACCCCGGGTCATTATTGGAGACTGGGCTATTATTGGAAACCTGGGCTTTTATTGGAGAAAATACGGTATTTATCTGCATTACTGTAAAACGGCTAATTATATTATTTTAGCGAAAGGAGTGTTTTCGCTGGAGTTTTGGCACGCCAATCGACACGGTGCATGTACAATCATGTACGCTACAGCAGTATGCGTACACATGCGTCGAATTTTTTAGGGGGGTGCACGTGCTAGGCCTTGACGGATTATGCTAATATTTTCGTGAAATTATGCTTTTCGCATTGCTGAAAAAATTGCAGAATTATGCTATTTTTATGCTAAAAGTTATCATATTATGCCGCATTATGCTCACATATGCTGCTAATGCATGATGGTGCTGTGCAAAATACCAGGGGAATTTTTTTGTAGAGGGCGTTGTACTGTAGTAGCAAAAGTTCAACGGGGTCAACGCACCGTCCGACCTAGCTACGACCATCACTGATTGTATTGGACTGGACATGTTATCAAGGGAGTCGTAAACCTACGACTTCCTGGTGCATCTACTTGTACTTGTAGAACATGTACAACTGTATGGAATTTGATGCGAACAGGCGGATTATTACAATTTTATGCGATTCGTATGCAATTTGCCACGAATTATGCGATTATTCGATTTTGGTAGGAATTATGCGAAAAATTATGCTAGCATAATCCGTCAAGGCCTAGCACGTGCCCCCCCCCCCCCCCCCCCCCCGTGCCCATCACGGGTGACGCCCCTGAGCACTGATCATCCTTCTTTTTTGTACTCTGCAACTCGGATCGCTAAAATATATTATCGAGAAATTGTCCAGCTCTGCAGATTCCGAAAACGCTAAAAAAAAGTTACCCGCTCAAATAATCGTTCTACAGTAGTCACCATGGTCACCATGGTCACTGGTCAAGCAGCCAATGGGCGCTTTCGATTACACGTTTACATAATTCTGGAACTGGGTTTTGTAATTCTCGAATGACCAGAATGTACGAACTCCGGCCATGTAAACGAACGACTGAAATTCACAACGCATTTTATTCATGGCATATCACAAACAAAATGAAAATGTATTGGCTGTAAAAAGAGATCATGTACACCCTCGCCCGCACGTAGATCTACGTGGACCCAGCTTCGCGTACCAGTCCATCCCGGTGAAGGCTCCATGTCGGCAACAATAAGTATTAGACTTCAATAAAGCTGAACGCGTGTGCGTAAGGACCACCCAAAATGATCTCGTCCAATAATCAGCTCCCAGCGGAAACTCAACTGCGGCAATTATTAGCTTTTCGAGGAGACAAAAGTAGCAGCTACATGCAGTTGTAGCCCTGCTTTCGTACCACACCGGCCAGCCGGGAGGCTCTTCCTTGACTTGAGTCATGCATGACCAGACCGGTAACACCGGCGTGTAATTCTGGCGCCAGAATTAGAGAAATTCCGCCCTCTCTTCAGAATTGACGGAATTGGATAAAATCAATTCTAACCGCAGAATTTGTGTTATCGAACTGTGCTCAACAATAACCGGCTAACTCTAGAATTGACCGATTTGTGTGTAATCGAACGTGCCCAATGTACACAGTTTTCCTTCTTTTTCCACACCGTCAGTGTCACTACATGTACATGTACATGTACGTAGCTTGCACCGTGACTGTAGTACACTCATGACATTGTACAAATTCAATGTCATGTAGTTGTAGCAGCCTTGACTCTTGTCTTGAGCTCGTAGATCAACCTACAATACAACATAGCTCAACTGACTGTTCTTCCTGGACTAGTCGACTGCTCATCAAATCAGTCTAGACTCCAGCACGATAATAATCTAGATCACCAGAATCACGACTACTGCCTAGACCTAGTACAGTAGTACTGTAGATCTACTGCCTACTACTAGTACTAGTACTACTACAGTAGTACTGACAGTAGTGTACTGGGACCGGTTCTACATGACGTAGTTGGTGCGAGTTTGAAACACCATGCCAGCTAGCTATCTCATGGCTAAACACAGACGGTCACTGACTGTCACAGTCAGTGCTAGTGCCATACAGGCACTGCACTGGCATTGTAATTTGTAGCCTAGCCTGTGTGGGTGTTGCCATTTCAATTTTCAGCGAGGAGAGAAGCGAATATTCAATATTCCCATGTGTAGTATTTGGATGAAAATTAATTAAATGTCCGCGGCGACTGCTGCGGGACTCTATAACAACGGAATTCGAACGTAATTGGCTGTTTACCGGTATTCTACGCTATAGTCAGAAAGGTAAATCGCTCAGCTCTTACCTCGATTGGTATGCGGGAGTCTCAGTGACAGTCACTCCCTGGTCAGTAATGACAAAAGGCATTCTCGCGCCCTTGATCCGGCGATCCAGTTCGGAAACACTGGTCGGATCAAGCAATAATTAATTTAGGATATAGTCGTTGATGCAGATAGTCTCCTGTAGGTGACGGGTTGCGCACCTACCGCGTGCAGGTAAAAGCTACCGTTTGAAATGTAGGCACTTGGTAGCGCTAACTTCTGTTGACTTTGCACCTGGTTCGCTCATATAATTATTTTCATTACCATTGTATGCAAAAAAATCAGCAGCTACCTACAAGTTTGCAGTAGATTTATCTACGTAACCTACCTGAACAAGCATGGACTACAGTGCCACCAAAATTAATGATCCCCCTCCTGGATTCCCCATGATCTGTTACAAACAGTCGCCCAATGAACCCAATCAATAGTGCTGGCTGGCCTCTCTTCCAGCCGTGTTGCAGAAGTCACAGAATCCTTGACGTTTGCATGGTTACGTTTCTGATCAGTTTCCAGTCAGAGGATGTCTGTGTCTGCACTAAGGTTGTGCTCGGAAAGAAACTGCTTCTGCACAAAATTATTCAACGTCCGATAGACGATCGGCATTCGGGACAATCCATCGATACACAGTGGATAGGATTGTGAAATACGGTGAACTCCTATCCGCACACCGACCTGTTCCAGGACCGCCGGAAGCAGTTTTCAATTTGTCCGGTCATACCAAAGTCCTTCATACTTTGTGTATAACATGGCGGGGACGTATGCCCTTCTCAGCAGTAAACACGTGTTGGTAGCGACAAAGTCGGTCCGGTGTTAACCTGACCAACCGGACCGGTTCCGGCGGGCCTGTGTTCCGATACTCAGTTTACATGCATGCTGGAACTGCTGCAGTTTACTGCTCCTCTGTCACTTGCCGCTTCTGGCCTGGAGCTAAGATGTGGCTCTGGATCTTCGACTGTGTGTGTGTGTGTGTGTGTGTGTGTGTGTGTGTGTGTTATGACTGTAAGTTCTGTGTGCTGTCCCTCCAGATTTGCAGAATACAGCCAGAAGCAACTAGTAACTATAGCATTCGAAGAAGATGCCCAGACGCGGTAAGTCCTGTTATTAATGAGTGGAAAATGTTAGTGCAACACCCCTACTCCCTTCAGATTGAACGAAACCCAGGCTAGCGGCGGCACTCAAGAAATGTCGAGGCACGAACATTCATCTTACGCAGTGCGGTCGGCTGGAGAGCCCAATTATGGTGTGGTGGTTGAATAATCTGTCCAGGGTCCGATTGCTGCTTACCCGTTATTCAATTTTCATCTTGCATAAACAAAAGAACTGACGTTGTATTTCTCGCCGGCCGAGCACAGCGAGATAGGCGCGAAATGATATCTCGCGAAATATTATCAGTTGCAAATATGGCATCTGGTGTGTTCTTTGTTGTCGCTTCTTTTCTTCACTTCTTCAGTCAGTTTTGAGTCTCACCAGTGTCCCTGCCCTCCCACCCTTCATTTCTGTGCATATTATCATTGCTTTTTATCACTGTTTGCCGTGATGTGCTTGCCATGCCTACATGATGCCTAATCGCCATTGGGGATATACACCCGGTTTTTTCCCTCACAAATACATCCGTCGGCGCGAGGGTTTTTTCCCGGCTGGCTCGGTCCAGGAAAATTAATCTGACGGTCCCAAGTGGTTCTGCATCATGGCCTATTTCTGCTATCCACTGGCACGCGTATTCTATCTGAGACACCCTGTTCTCAGTCCTTGCTTCCATCCCTCACTCGTTATCCGGTTCACATCTGGCTGCGGCCAACTACCCTTCACTTTGTGTGTTGTCGCTATTGCTGTCTATGTCTCTGTGTATGCCAGTATATGTGGAGCGAGAAAGGGCAAACTTCCATTTTGTTGTTGTTTTGTTTTTGAAGAAGCAGTCGCCTACTGAATTGTAGGGTTTCTGGTGCATGATTTCAAATAAAAAAATAGTTCCAAAAGATATAGAATCCTTATGTTCTCTAGATATAGAATCATTCATCTTATGCAAGCCTCGTATTAACACTTCAATGCTATGACTGGCAACCGTTAGTTTGGCGACTCAACAATGAGGTGTTAGGAACAAGAAGAGTGCACAGTAACGTACCCTTTCCGATCTGTGTGTTTTTTGTTGTTGTTTTTTTTTACTTTTCCTGCTGCTGCTGGCTGTGGTGCTGCTAGTGATGACGGCGATGGCTGTGGTTGTGTTATTTTATTCTACTTTGCCCTGTGTGCGCGTGTGTATGTGTGCGTGTGTATGGTTGTGTGTGTGTGTGTGTGTGTGTGTGTGTGTGTGTGTGTTGCACGTGCATGTGTGTGTTGCACGTGCATGTGTGTGGGTGTGTTCATGCACATGTGTGTGTGTGTGTGTGTGTGCACGTGCATATGTGTACATTCAGGTGGTCGCGGCCATGCACGGAGAGCGCATCGAGCACATCACCGCCATCGGGCCCACCACCACCATCATCACGGAATTCGTCATCACCACAGACGGCGAGGAGGAAGGATTGGCGGTCGCGGGGGAGCTATTGTTATCGGAAATGGGGCCAGTGAGTACATGTTGTAGGCGTCCCGTTGTCTAGAATACTACTGGAGGTGGTGATGGTACTTGACCCTTTCCGTGCTGGCCTTTGTTTCTCCAGCAAATTGACTTTCCAGCGCACTGACTCGCCTAGTGTCGTTTCGCGCACAGCTCCGAACAAACCAAATTTTATCTTGTCTCTGTCCACCTTCATGGATTTTCGTCGTCCTGGGCTTATTGGAAAGATCAGGACCGAGCGAATCCATCCCGGCGGCTCTCAGATGAGTATTCACATCAGTGCCACTTTCACGTCCTCTCCTAACTACCTCGCCATGTCTCGGACAGGCAAAGCTAAGTCAATTGCACATTCCTTTTCAGCTTCTTGCTCAAATTCAACCGATTTTCATGATTCGAACTGCGCTACAAAGCTGAGATCCACGCGCCTTCTTTGATGTCCATCAGGCATGCATAGTGCTAAAAAGAAAGGCCCTGGCATGCACCAAAAAATTGCGAAGGTATTTGAAACAGTTGAATCACCGTGTATACATTGGTATGCTGTGCTTGGTGAAATCCTAGCCTGTTCGTTCTTTGGCTCTCCGTTCTTCGGCAGCAACTAGGGGTGCGTTTGGTTGGTACGATCTAGAACAGGATCGAACAGCTGGTGCGCATGGAGCAGCCGCATGCCAACCAAACAGTACTCCAAAACCAGAGCATATTTTTGTGAAAAATATGCCAAACTTGGTGCATTCTTCAAAATGTGTATGGGTCACCATGGTCACTGTGTTTGGTACAACGAGTCCAACCCAAAAGCGTATGCACGCGATCATTTGGGACCAAAATCGATGTTCCCGCCAGGTTTCACTGTGAAAAGTGAAACTGCTCGGTCTGCTCCGGCCTTGAGTCCGGAGCAAGTAGAACATGTTCTGGCCGACCCAGAACAGGTGCAGTCCCAACCAAACGCGCTGTTCTGGTGAATCCTGTTCTAGTTCGTACCAACCAAACACACCATAGTACTGTACATTGTGTCCTCATCGCGTGCGCCAGTTCTTGTTTTCTTGCTTGCCGTTTGATTTTTGCAGATCCGTGCGGACGTTCGGCGATGTCACTTGGATTCTTCCTTCTCTTCGCGGGCGCCGTGATGATGGGAGTGGGTGCTAGCAATACCATAGGCTTTCTGATGATTGCCGGAGGTGTTATCCTCGGCATTGCAGTCTTGCTCTGCATATTCGGAGTTGCCATGATTAAGTGCGGCGGGCCACCGCCGGGTGACGTGGAAGCCAATATCACTGCCACTGCCACTGTCCTGGAAGGTGCACCTGATTTCAACGTAATGCTGGATCAGCTGTATCCCGCTGCGGGCGGTGGTGTGACTGCAGCGCCTGGTCCCCCGCAGGCAGGCATTCCGGTCGGCCAACCCTACAATCCCGAGTTTTCCACCGCCGCTCCGCCCGTGTACCCATCGGCACCGCAGGCCGCTGGAACTGTGCCGTATCCGACTGCTCCGGCCGGTCCCTATGCACAGCCACCGTATCCCGTGGGGCCCGCGCCTGCCGCAGCAGTCCCAGCTTATCCGCCTGCAGTTGCTGTTCCGGTGCCTCCGGTTGCGCATGCTCAGCCGTACACTGCACCCGGAGCCATCGCGGACCAAGATGCCGGCGGTGCTGCTGGTACTGGTACTAGTGATGGTACTGATCTTGGCCTGCCCAGCTACAATGATGTCGTTGGAGAGTAAGACACTACACGTAGCCCAAATAAAAACTTTACTGTTGGTTACACAAATAGTCTCCTCTTTCTGCACGTTGAGAAACTCGTCTGTTCTCTTCTTCTTCTCTTCTTTTTATTCTATATCCCGTCTCATGTATCACGTACATACTTGTGTTGCGAAATCCTCACTATGTGTGGAAACTAAGATGGCGAAGAGCTCCGCGTTGCTCGTCTGGGCAGGCATCGGCTGAATGGATTTGTCTCTGCCATTGATACGATCATGATAATCTACGAAGATCTACCGAAGTTGTTACGTTGAATGCGGCCTATGGAAACATCATGGAATGAAGATTGGCTACAAGGATCTGGATTGGGAGAACTTCAAATTCACATTCCCTGACTGATTTCCTTGGAGACTAGAATGCAATTATACTTAGAAGTAGGACTTATCCTATTGTATTATATTGAGATCTAATTATTTTCTTAGAGCATCCCTATTGTTCAGATATAGTATTTAGAAAAACAGTTTTTGTAGTATTTTGCTATTTTATTCCGAAACCCAATGGGATCAAAGCGTGTTAGCAGTACTTTCATTATCTTGTATGTGTGTTTGTTTGTGTTTGCTGAGCATGTCTCTTGGTAGTACTTGTAGGGAGTAGACCTACTGCCACTGGCGTCTGTGTGGTGGACTCACCATGTGTCCTTATTCTAACCAGGCCCAGGCCAGGGTCCTTGCTCCAGTCCAGGGCAGAGCGTAGACCTCACGCACTGTCTGTCTACGTATACTTTATGTCTGTAACCAAACCAACGTGCAGCCAACACTGCAACAGACACCAAAACTAATTACCGGTAGTGACGGTACATTGTACAGCTGTACATGCAAACGTCTCCGAACGTCCGAAACTCAGTCTCAGGCCAGGGGCCGGCCTGGGCCCACACTGGTCCTGGGCCCAGGCCGGGCCCACACGTAGCAGGAATACTGTATGTAGGGCCATGACGTAAGATTTGTCGCTGGTTAACAAAATTATTACATAACAATCAATATCCAGAATATTAGTCCGCCAACGACATGCATGCAACGCAAACGACATGTTGACAGTTTGAGTTTGACTCGAAAGAAAGATGTAGTCCTAGCCATGGCGTGGACAAGAAAGAACTAAGCGCACAGTCTTCTTGATACTAGCAGACTACTACAAGCCGGTTGGAGCTCAGTTTAGTTTCTCGCCTGCTATCCGGACGAGAAGTTGGTACTCATAGCATTGTTACGCTACCAGCCGGGTGACGCTATGGAGTGATGCATTATGGACAACAGCCATAGCAAGGTGAGCTTTCTTTTGCATCCTGCTGCGCTCATGCAGCAAGCGCGCTGTGATCGGAGTGATCTTACTTCTTAGTGGGGCTCGCTGAACAACGACAGCACAGCGTTAGAGTCGTACAGTCCATTTCAAAACTATAGACGCGTAGGGGTTTTGAAATATTTCAAATTTGGCTGGAACTTTTCGAGAATAGTTTTCGGAATATTGCTCAGGACCGCTCCACAATTACTGTCATATAGTTTCTAAACGATTGGATAACAGACGCCCAATTTGGAAAAAATTATGCACAAAGTGATCACAGATTTTATGTGGTATAGATGCTGGCATAACGGTGTTTTGCCTAGGTACGCGTCTATAGTTTTGAAATGGACTGTAGATAAACTACTAGTGCAAGATGCAGAAATTATGTACAGTCAACTTCGCTTATAACGACACTCGGCGGGGCATCAACAAGGTGTCCTTATTCGCGAAGTGTCGTTATACCCGAAGTCTCATTATAATGTACTACAGTGGGATGGGACTTTTTATTATTATTATTTTTTTTTTGTTTTACATCGGAAGCTCAACAGTGCAGCTGCACAAATATGAAGAGGCCGATGGGACCAAAAAAATATATATATAAAAAAATAAAAAAATAAACAATGTATAATATACATCAGTGTAAATGTTCATACATCAGTGTAAATGTTCAAATGTTTAGCAAAAAAAAAGGGGATGAGTGGTGAACATAAAGAGAAAAGAAGAAAAACGTATGCTGAATGAACCTGGGCAATATATACATGTAGCTGGTGAGAGACTAAACGTTGCCAACGTTGTCAAACAAAATTGCACGATATCGTTCAAACCAAACTGGATCATCCAATAAGCGCTTAAAACCACGATCGAACTGAGAGGTAAACAAAGAGGATTTCAAGTCATTAGGTAGAGCATTAAAAAACAGAGCAGCACGAAGCACAAAGGATTTTTGACCGACTTTGCTCTGGGCATGGAAATTCTGTCGTTACTCGCGAATAGTCGTTATATCCGCAGTCGTTATTGGCGAAGTTGACTGTGCACCAAATACCAGAGGATACACCCAGTTTGCTGACAGTACTCAACAGTACACAAAACGAGAGAGCTTGGAAGTTCAGGGCCCTATGCTATGCTTTTTTGGCTTGATGACCTAGGCAAAAAAAAGAATAGTAAATTTTTCATTTCTCCTATTTTTTTAAGACATAACCTGGGATTCGAACCCGCACTATCGCCCTGCATGCATCCCCCGATACACATCGCATACATACTAATTCTTCCAAGTTGCTTCACGTTATGATCTTGCATTTGAAAGCCCTATTTAAATATTGTGGCCAGCTGACTTTGATGGTACGGTACGGTACGGGACAGATACGGGATAGCGCCAGACGGAGGTCCGTCCGCCACAAACAAACAAATAAACACCAAATTAAAGCTGTGTGGACCCTGGCTAGCGCCAGACATTACTGAAATAACGTCTTTTGCATAGCTACGGGAATAAACATTTTAATAAATAAAGGTCTGAATAGGCGACGAGGAGACACATACAGTCAACTTTGCGTATAACGACACTCGGCGGGGCATCAGAAAAGTGTCCTTATTCGTGAAGTGTAGTTATACCCGAAGTCTCCTTATGTGTTACAGTTACTAGTAGACGGGACTTTGCTCTGGGCATGGCAATTCTGTCACTATTCGCGAATTGTCGTTATATCTGCAGTCGTTATTAGCGAAATTGACTGTAACTGTGTTTAATTTCGCTTTAACATCTCCTTATTTCTTGCCCTTATCCCATTTTAATCCCTCACATATCTTGACTTTTTAGTTATTATTTTTCTTAACCCACACCCCTCTACCCTGTTATCGACCCTCTTAAGAGTTGTGTTCATCACTGCTGAGGCTTCCGATGGAAAATAAAAGAATACTACTACTAACTGAGCACTTGGTAGCTTCTGTTGACTTTGCACCTGGTTCGCTCAAATTATTTTCATGACCATTGTATGCAAAAAAATCAGCACCTTCCTACAAGTAACTTAGTTTGTAGTAGATCTATGTACGTAACCTACCTGAACAAGCATGGACTACAGTGCCACCAAGTGATCCCCCTCCTGGATTCCCCATGATCTGTTACAAACAGTCGCCCAATGAACCCAATCAACAGTGCTGGCTGGCCTCTCTTCCAGCCGTATTGCAGTGTTGCAGAAGTAGAATCCTTCACGTTTGCATGGTTACGTTTCGGATCAGTTTCCAGTCAGAGGATGTCTGTGTCTGCACTAAGGTTATCCTTGGAAAGAAACTGCTTCTGCACAAGATTATTCGACGTCCGATAGACGATCGGCATTCGGTACAATCCATCGATACACGGTGGATAGGATTGTGAAATACGGTGAACTCCTGTCCGCACACCGAGCTGTTTCAGGACCGCCGGAAGCAGTTTTCAATTGGTCCGGTCGTACCAAAGTCTTTCATACTTTGTGTATAACATGGCGGGGACATATGCCCTCCTCAGCGGTAAACATGTGTAGGTGGGTAAAAAGTTGGTCCGGTGATAAGGTGATAACCTGACCAACCGGACCGGTTCCGGCGGGCCTGTGTTCCGATATTCAGTTTACATGCATGCTGTAACTGCTGCAGTTCACTGCTCCTCTGTCACTTGCTTCCGGCCTGGAGCTAAGATGTGGCTCTGGATCTTCGACTGTGTGTGTGTGTGTGTGTGTGTGTGTGTTTTATAACTGCAAGTTCTGTGTGCTGTCCCTCCAGATTTGCAGAATACAGCCAGAAGCAACTAGTAACTAAAGCATTCGAAGAAGATGCCCAGACGCAGTAAGTCCTGTTGTTGATGAGTGGAAAATGTTAGGGCAACATCCCTACTCCCTTCAGATTGGACGAAACCCAGGCTGGCAGCGGCACTCAAGAAATGTCGAGGCACAAACATTCATCTTACGCAGTGCGGTCGGCTGGAGAGCCCAGTTATGGTGTGATGGTTGAATAATCTGTCCAGGGTCCGATTGCTGCTTACCCGTTATTCAATTTTCATCTTGCATAAACAAAAGAACTGACAGTGCAAACTTCCATTTTGTTGTTGTTTTGTTTTTGAGGAAGCAGTCACCTACTGAATTGTAAGGTTTCTGGTGCATGATTCCAAATAAAAAAATTGTTCCAAAAGATATAGAATCATTACCTCCACGTCGTCAGAATGATGGCTTCCGCACCGCTGAGCGCCCAGGCCTTCCCATATTATCCTAAGACTCAACATAACATCACTATTGTTACGATTAATTGTCGCTCCGTGTCGAACAAAATCCCTGAACTCCATGCATTGTGTCGATCCAACACACCGACTATCCTATGTCTGACAGAAACCTGGCTCTGCCCGATACATATGCTCAGCGTACCCGGTTATACGTGCTTCCGTCGAGATAGGCCAATACCAGTGAACCAAAGGGCCCAGTTCCGAGGTTATGGTGGTGTTGCCATCCTTGTACGAGATGGGACATTTTTGCATGCAGCCCAGCGCTCAGACCTTGACTCTCCCCAATGCGAAAACATATGGGTTGAGCTTGGACTTCCTGCAGACCTGGGTGCTAATCCTATACTCATTGGCTGTCAGTATCGCCCTCCTTCGCAATCCCTACCTGAACTTACCTCATTTTGTGACATGATGACGGATACCCTACGGGCTGTAGACCTCTCATCCGTTGATATATTCCTCACTGGTGACTACAATGCTCACAACTCTGACTGGTGGAGCGGTGACGCTACATCACGCGCTGGAAAGGAACTTTCGCATATATTCTCCAGCTTCGGTCTCTCCCAGCTGGTAGATTTTTCCACTCACACCTCTCCAAACGGAACCCTGTCGTGCCTAGACTTGCTCGCTACCAATCGTCCTCAATCAGTATTCTCTGTCGACGATGCTGCCCCGCTTGGTGCGTCCGACCATTCACAGGTAGTTACCACCCTTTTCTACAGAACTGTAACCCGAATGCCTACAAAGGAAGTACCATGCTATCCTGCCCGTAGTTCCCCAGCCACTCCATACAATTTTGCGCAAGTGCCACCTTCTGTCTGGGTAGCAGTAAATATGTACCTTTCCTCGCTCAACTGGTATGATCTCATGGACACACCAGATGTCGACGACGCATTAGCCAGATTCTCCTCTTCCTTGAATGATGCATTTTCCCACTACCTGTCGCCTTATCGGAAAATCTCTTCCTCCACCCAGCGAGCTGTATCTAGGAAATATCCTCCGTGGGTTAATCGAGATTTAGTAC